AAATATTTGAGAAAGTTACTACTATTGAAAACTCTAAAGGAATGTTTGCCTTTGTTAAATATGAACAAATGGAAAGTGCAATTGAAGCAATTAATAAAGAAAATGGAAAAGAGTGGTGTGGTAATTTAATTGTAGTTGAATTCTCTGAAACTATCGAATCAAAAAGAAATAGAAGACAGAAAGCTACGTTAAAGAAACATTGTCAAAGCTCTACTCTTCTTCCTCATACATCTCAGAACCAGTCATACCTTCAAATTACATCTCCAAAACAAAAACACATCCCCTCAGAACCAGTTCATCGTACATCAAAGTCCTACACAAACTCTCTTTCTTCTCAACAACTTGATTTTTTATTTCCTGCTCCTACATCTGCACGTCATATCTCACAGTCATCGTCTCCAACAACTGAGATGTTTGTTTCTCACCACTACAATTTGTCTCATCAACTCAATCACGTTTCTCCATTTGATGCACTCACTCCAGACAATGATAAAGAAACAAGTGATTTGCCTATATTCAGAGAGTTAGTATCACCAGCCTCTGAAAAAAAGAAATAGTTTTTCAATTCCTCTTTATTTAATTATTGTGTTGTTCAATACTTTATCAATTCACTCTTTTTTATTTTTTGTTTTTATTTCAAATAAACATATTAATATTTTCATTTCATTTCAATTACAATGAACCGCTTTGGTGTGAAATTATCTGAACCACAAAGTGCATTTGATATTCCTTTATATTCATATGAACTTTGTTTACAATGAGAGTCTTGTTTGTTATAGAATTTCTTTAGATAAACATCACCACAAAAACATCCAAAATTAAATAACCAATCATTTGATTGGCTCCATAAACAAAATGCACGTTGTGGATCTTTAATATCAAATCTCATCATTCCTTGTGTTCTTCCATTTGACTTTAATGAAAATACAAATGCATTTGAATCATCTACCCATTTATCAACTTTATCAATTTTCACATTAACATATCCTCCAAATTTATTTCCATTTGTATCTTCAATAATAATTATTATACGTTCTTTATTCATTATTCTTTGATCAAATACTGATGTATTTTGACTCCAATTATCAATATATGAATCAAATATTATATTTGATACTTTTCTATTTGTCCATTTTTCTATTTGTTTCATTTCTTCCATTGTGTTCATTCCTTTCATTATTCTTAATCTTTCTTCTTCTTTTCTTTTCCTTTCTTCTTCTTGTTTCTTTCTTTCTTCCTCTTTTCTTTTCCTTTCTTCTTCTTGTTTCTTTCTCTCTTTTTCTTCTTCTTTTTTCTTCTTCCTCTCAAAATAATCACTATAATATATTTCCCATTCTTTTTTCTTTTTATTAAATTCTTCTGTGATTTTATCTTTTTCTTTTGGTTTTCTAAATATTTTATCTTTCATTATCATTTCTTCAATTGAAATGATTGTATTGATTAATTCATTCCGTGTTTTACTTAGTATTTCTTCATCTGAATTACATTCTTCTATTATTTTCTTCATTTGATTCTTTATTATTTCTATTTTATTTATTGTTTCTTGACTTTTTTCTATTACTAATTTTCTTCTTCTTTCGGTTTCATCATTTCTATCAAATATTCCTTCTCCTCTTTTAATAGCTTCTGAATATGTTTCATCTGGTTTTATTTCAAATATTTCATTTTTAATACATCCTAAATAATATTGATATTGTTTAGTAGTATCATCAATTGATTGTTGAATATTTGGAAGTGTTTCTATTTCTTCTTTAAAGAAATGAGTGTTCTTGTTTATTAACTCTTCCATTTTAATTTAATAAATATCAGATTAAAATCAGATGATTAAATACTTAAATACACGTTTATAATACATCACTTTATTTATTATTTTATTATTTTAATAAACATCATTTCATTTTATTCATTAAATTAAATGTTACTTATTTTATTAATATAATATTCTTTATGATTTGAATGTAGTATATCAGAGAACCACACAAAACCCTAAAATATTTACATCATTCAAATACACCAGTTATGGACTGATTATGACGTTGCGTTTGGTTAGAAAAACATCATAATCAATACTTCAAGAATAACAGTGATTATTAATTACAATGACAGAATATCATTGACAATAAAAGAATGGGTATTTATAAAGATGGTATTATTACTTATTATGATACAAATATATTTGATAATATAAAATTATCAAAGGAAAAGGGTCTAGTGGTTGATTCTAAAAAGAATATTAACCCAAAGTAATACAGTAGTAATTATATACTATCCTTAAAATAAGAAAATAAAGAAGAAATTCAAACCCATTAAAATCAAAAAGAAAATAAATAATGAATATTTAAATAATTGATGTTTAAAATACTCTATTCCATATCAAATAAATGAGAAAATGAAATTATCATAATTCAACAACTAAAATCAAAGAATAAGCCAATAGTTGATGAACAAATACTTTTAAAACAAATGGATTAATTAATCTCAGCTGAGCAAGGAACAATATAAAATAAAATTATTAACATTAATTAACTACTTTTTATTGCGATCCTTTTATCAATTCAGAAAATACATCATATTTTGATACTATGGATATTGAGTAATGTTATAGAGTGTTGTAAAGAAAATCAAACAACAAACAGGTATTCAAGTTCAAAGAAAAGAATGAACTTCAATAGCAATAAAATACATAATAATTATAATAAAAGAAATAACAAGAAAAAAGTGAATAGAAAAAGAAGAATACAAATAAAAACAAATAAGAAACAAGGCAAATATAATGATAATAAACATTATACAAATAAGAAATCTAAATGGTTGACAACAAAAGAAATTCAAAAGAAAATTAAAATAATAACAAGAAAATGGGAAAAAGGAGAATACGAAGAATTACTTAAAAAATAAGAAGATAAAGAAAAGAAATGGTATAATATTCTCCAAGAAGTATATTCAATAAGAAAGAAGAAAACACTAGAGAAAATCAAAGAAGAAATCAAAGGTAAAACAAAAGATTGGAAAAGTGAAGATATTAAAACAATCGAAGAATGAATCAAAAACAAAAATCGAAACAAAGAAATGAATGACAGATGTAAAGCTGCAAGAATAATAAATGAAAAAGAAAATAAAAGGAAAACACAAGATAAAGAAGAGAAAAAGGAAGAAGAAGGCAACAAAGAAGAAATTAACACACTTCAAAATAAAATTAAAGAATTAGAAGAAAATATTAAATAATTTCAAACAAAAAAGAAGAACGAACCATTTCAGATGAAATGATTCAAAAAGCACGAGGTACAATTATAAAAGAACTTGAAGAAAAAATAGACAAGATTCAAACACAAATAAACAATATTCAAACTACATATAATGAAATAAGAAAATTCTAAATTAAAATAATAAAATATTTCATTACAATCAAAAATAAATGAAATATAAAATAGAAATAACACATAACGATGAAATCATTATTCTCTTAGTTAATTATGAGATGAAGAAGAATGATGATGATGTGTTGAAGAAGAACATAAGATATAAATAAAAATAAAACACTGAATATCAAAAAAGTGCGATTCAAAACTATGAGATTGCAGAAATAACAAGAAAAGAATTAAACAATACACAAAAAGAAAATGAAGAATAAAATCAAATAATATCAAACATCATCAATTTATTATTTATTTTTTATTTCATAAATAAAGAAGAAGAAAACAATGACTCTAGTGATAAATACACAACAAAT